TGCTGAACCCTGAGAAATACCAGCAGTCCCAGAGATTTCCTGCAGGCAGAGAAGCTGTAGTGGGTGATGGTGTTGCTGGCTGGAGAGCTCTGTGCTGGAGCTAAGAGTAGTCCCCGGGCAGGCTTCTTGCTGATGGAAGCCCAACAACAGTCCTGGCTGTCCTAGTCTGCTGTGACTCCCCTGGGTGCCTCCAGTTCCTACTGTGAGCTCTACCAGCCCTTTCTAGTAGTCAAAGGAACTCATTGTCAGCAGCAGTTTCTACCTTGTGCAGTCTGTGTTTGTCTCTCGTTGGCTTGCCTTCGGTGTAAAGACAAGTCTTGTGGATATTTTGTAAGGAGACAAATTAAATGTGCCTGGAGTAATTTGGAGGTGCAGGAAGCACTGTGCATGGCAGCTGACCTGTCCCTGGTATGGGCCCTGACCGTGCCCTGGTCATGTTCTTTTAAGTGTTTCCCTGAAAGTACTGCTAGATGACCTCAAAGGAAGTGTGCTCTTGGGATGAAATGACTTTGCAGAGGATGTCTTCTTAGTTTGTCTCTGCCTGCTTTCTGATGCAGCCCCCATTTAGTGCCGTTCAAGCTCCATACCAGTATTCATGAGTGGAAGTGGTTAATGTGGGGTGCCCTGAGGCCACAGCCAGCATTTGGTATGGGGCTGGAGGAGCCCTGTGGCTGTGTCTTCTGCTTGACATTCTGTCTAAACCCAGCCAGCTGAGGGTTCTTGTCATGACAAGCCCTGGGACTGGGAAGAGTCCCACCCTGACCCTCCTCAGTCCTGCTGTGCTTTCTGCAGAGCTAGAAGCCTGGCTTGGTGCTCTGGCGGTGATCAGCCCAATTCCAATAGATCAGGAAGACCTCTGGGGATGAAGGGGACCCAGGGGTGGGCTGTGCTACGTGGCTGGCATCCTTGCTGAGAGGTGGGTGGTACACAGGGCTGTGTTGCCTCACTGGAGGAGGTGGCAGGAAACTTAAGTGTCTGGGCTGTCAAGTCCAGCCATATAGGATGCTCTGAGAGCAGCTGCTCCCTGGCCTTCCTGTAAACTCTGCTTCCTGGACCTCTGTATGGACAAAATCTGCTTGTGCTCAGCTGCTGCAGCAGAGGAGGCAGAAATGCAGCTAGGTTGTTACCTGCAGTCAGCAGCCTGCTGGAATTCTTTTCTGATACAGCCAGCAGCAACTGTGAGATCCTCCTGCTGTGCCAGACACAAACTCCCTGTCATGTAGCTGAGCTCAGATTGCAGGTGGGACTGGGGCATGCTGTACTTTCAAGATAGAACCTATATCATCATGATTATAGAATCATGGAATGGTTTGAGTTGCAAGGGACCTTAAACCCCCCTGCATGGGCAGGGACACCTCCCACTAGACCAGGTTGCTCAGAGCCACATCCGACTTGGCCTTGAACACTTCCAGGGGTGGGGCTTCCACAACTTCCCTGGGCAACCTGTGCCAGTGTCTCACCACCCTCACACTAAAGAATTTCCTCCTCATGTCTAACCTAAAATCTCCCCTCTTCCAGTTTTGATCCATTATGCCCTTGTCCTATTCCTAAAGCCCTTATAAAAAGCCCCTCCCCAGCTTTCCTGTAGCCCCTTCAGGTACTGGAAGGCTGACATGAGGTCCCCCCCGAGCCTTCTCTTCTCCAGACTAAACAGTGCCAACTCTCAGCCTGTTGTTGTAGTAAAGGTGCTCCAGCTTCCCACATCATAAGCACTGAATTACCGTTCCTCAGTAATCCTAAGGTGCTTGGATCATGCCAGTTCCTCATAATAGCAACAGGGAGATGACAGACTTCTTAGGAAGTCCCACAGCAGACCATTGTGTCCTGATGAAAATACAGTACTTTCATCTGAGTCTGAAGCCAGACACTATGGATTTTCTAATGAATAGATATGGAATACACGAGCCGAATAACATCTCAACTAAATAATCATATACAAGATTAAGTGTTACTGTCTCTTTTTAAAAGGGAAAAAAAATATATACAGCATATATACTTTAAGAAGCTCCATACAGTTCCCTTACAGGTTATTTTAATTTTTTTACAAATGGTCAACTGTCTTGAATCTGGGAGTATTATCAACATTTCTACAAGAAAGCAACACAAATATAGAACAGTACTGCTGCTCTCTCTTGCACCAGTAAGTAAAATGACAAAACAACTCTCAGTTCAATAATGAACATAGGCTGGTTCCATGTTAAAGAGACATTTAGCATACTTGCACATACAATCAATGGACTACATCTAAACCAGCAGTAGCAAAAAGGGAGAATAAACCCAGGTAGCTAGAAGACCACAAACATTTTCGAGGCCTCAGACCATGAAGTACTTACTTTGTGTTGTCGAGTTTCATTTCCAGCAAATCCACATAGTATCCCTCTTCAGACTCTCCTCCTTTGGAGCAACTCCTAGCTTTGGGTTCTTTCTTCTTCTTACATGAAGTCTTAACTTTTTCTAGGATGATACTATTGTGCCCTGACCTGTCTGCACACAGGGGCCAAATGAACACTGCTCTCAAGTCATCTCCTGGGTGTGGGTATGTGGTAGAGGGGATTCTGGAGGCAGCTCAGGGTCTCTAGATTGGGATGCTACCATAGGAGTAGTCTCATGATCTGGTAGTGTCTTTTTGTGGTGGGGGAAAGGTGGGACTTTCTTCCCCATCTGGAATGCAGACCAGGTGTTGGAAACCAGGTTGGGATTTCCCATGTACATCCAAGGCCCGTTGTCCTGCTCCATCTATGTAATAATGTTGGCTGGGGAGCCATGGGCTGTGCTGAAGAGCATTGTCCCAGGGAGCCCCCAGATGCTGCAGAGTAGGATAATTTCTGTCACCAAGACAGACTATGGTCCAGCACGGGCATCAGATGGTCTGGGCCATGCCCTGTGGTCCACTCATGCTGTATAGCATTTATCAAGCACACACAGTGATATGGGGCTGTGAAGATGTCTCATGCTGCTATGCTGCACCTCTCTGCTATGTTTTGATTCTCCAGGTACTGAGCTGTAATGGGGAAGGGATGTGCAGCTGGATCAGGAAAGGAAGGGCCTTCAGGGCTGCTCAAGGCTTGTCCGTGGGTAATCTCTGCTGAAGGTGACCCATCATGACTTAGAATCATGTAGGTTGGAGAAGACCTTTAAGATCATCAAGTGCAACCTTTAACCCTACTCTACCATGTTCACCCTAAACCATATCCTGAAGCACCACATTTATAAGAGTTTTTAACACATCCAGGGATGGTGAGTCAATCACCTCTCTGGGCAGCCTGTTCCAATGCCTGACAACCCTTTCAGAGAAAAAAAAATTCCTGATGTCCAGCCTAAACCTCCCCTGATATAGCTTTAGGTCGTTTCCTCTTGTCCTATCACTCTTGTGAGAAGAGACCAGCACATACCTCTCTAAAATGTCCTTTCAGGTAGTTGTAGAGAGCAGTGAGGTCTCCCCTCAGCCTCCTTTTCTTTAGACTAAATAGCCCCAGTTCCCTCAGCAGCTCTTCATAAAACTGGTTCTCCAGGCCTTTCACCAGCCTAGTTGCTCTTTGCACCTGCTCCAGCACCTCAATGTCTTTCTTGTGTTGAGGGACCCAGAATTGAACACAGCACTCAAGGTGCAGCCTCACCAGTGCCAAGTACAGGGGAGCAATCACTTCCCTAGTCCTGCTGACCACACTATTTCTGATACAAGCCAGAATACTGTTGGCCTTCTTGGCCACCTGAGCACACTGCTGGCTCATATTCAGCTGCTTGTCAATCAGCACCCCCAGGTCCCTTTCCTCTGGACAACATTCCAGCCACTCTTGCCCAAGCCTGTAGCTTTGCATGGGGTTGTTGTGACCCAAGTGCAGGACCTGGCACTTGCCCTTGCTGAAGCTCATACAATTGATCCAGTCTGAGTCCCTCTGCAGAGCCTTCCTACCCTCAAGCTGATCGACAGTCCCACCCAACTTGTTACCATCTGCAAGCTTACTGAGGCTGCATTCTATTTCCTCATCAAGGTCATTGATAAAAATGTTAAACTGAAGTGGTCCCAACACTGAGCCCTGAGGAACTCCAGCAGTGAGCAGCCACCAGGTGGATTTAAGACTTGGCTACTGTTGAAGGCTGGCCTCATACATGTAGGCTTTGCAAGGTGCTTGGTGAAGCCAAGGTGGCAAAGAGCCCTGAGGCATCCCAGACAGGCATGGGAAGAAGGCAAAGGGTGTCCAATCTCAAGGTCTCTCCCAGCTCTCTTTCTGTACTGAGAACTATTGCTGCAGCCCAAGAGAAACACTACAAAGAGAGGAGGAATCTGAGTCTCACCTGTGGTAGGGTAGAGCACGATTCAAGTCTGCTGACATAGCACCCCTCCCAAACACCTTTACTGCTCTGATCATGCTGAGATTTGCCCTCATGCTTCTAGGGAGTCCAGAGAATTCCTATGAGTAGGGTGCTGTGTATCTTTTGGGATACCTTATCCACCCTTGTGAGTACTGAGTGTGAGGGGATGCTAAGTGCCCTGCTTGCTTGGGGACTATATCTTGGGAGTGTACAGCTATGCCTGGGAATGGGGGAGCCTGGCTTTGCCAGCTGGGAACAGGACCTGCTCTGATCTGCTGTGGCTGCCATTGCCTAGTTGACTTGGGGGAGCTTTGGCCCGTCACCCACGTAGAGAGGGTGCCCACAACATCTGTGTCCCATGTGGGATGGCAGGAGTTTGTGGTTGAGCTAATGGAAAGTGCCTCTGCTGGGCTCTGCTCTGTTATCACGTGCCTCTTCTAATTTGGACTTCAGGGACTGTGGTGCCAAGGCAGAGGGGTGTTGCTTTCCTCCCTCCCCAGGCCCTGGGGCACAGCTGAGTGCCTGGGATTTGCTCCCCCTGTCCAAAATGGGCTGCCTTCCCTTTTTTAGCTGTTTGTTGAGCTGTGAATTCCTAGATCCTGGCAGCTTGACAAGCTGGGAACAAGGCTTAGCACGTGGGAGAGCTGGGCCCACCATCCTGCAGCGGGAGGGGTGGGAGTGTGGCAGCCTTAACTCTTCCCAGGCATGCTGGCAGCTGTGGCAGGGCACAGAGAAAGCAGATCCCTTGTGGCCCATGGTGTGGTTCTTCTGTGGAACAGTGTATTTGCAGTCTGCTCTTAGCTAGCTGAGCAGGGCAGGAGAGGGACGATGGAGGCCCTGGGTATCCAGAAGGGGACTTGGGGGAAGGAGACATGAAGTGTGACTGCCAGGGTGAGCAGGGATCATGCTTGGCTTGCTTGCTTCCTGCAGATCCAAGCCATGTCTAGCCACATGCTTTGTGGCTGTGGAAACTGGGGTGTTACACAGCCTGGCATACATGTTCTTCCCTTCTTGCCAGACCCAGGAGGCCAATCTATCAGGCTAGGATTGGTCTAACACAGGGCCCTTTTTCCTCCTGGTGCTCAGTTTCCCTGATAATGCTGTTCTCAGGCAGACACAGAGCTCAGATGGTCCTCGCAGAACCATGGTGTGTGCTGGCTGTAGCTAACACGTGAGGTCCTTTGGAAGCATTTGCCTTGTGCCCATCTCCTAGTAGCAGACTGGCAAATGGGTGCTTCACCTGGACAGGTTCTCTCCTTAGGTCCAGGAGGCATTCCCCAGAGCCTGCCAAAGCAGCTGTCAGGACTGGCCCTTCTTGGTGTCTGGGTTTGGCCTTACTCAGCTGTCCCTTGCTGCTTTCAGCATACAGCTGCCTTTAAGAGCCAGTTTTCAGCTTGTTCTTGCCCGTGTGTTTCCTGCCATAAGGGAAGTGGTATGTGTTCCTGACAGGAGATTGCTGTTTTGTCTGTCTCTGCAAGGACTGCTTTTGCCTGTAGTATGCCAAAAAGAGGCCGTTCTCTTCTTAGATGCTATGGGGACTCCTTGGGAGGCGTTCTTTTGTCCCACTAGTATCTTGCAGAGATGTCTCTCATCAGACCTGTGTGGCCCTGGGCTTGTATCCAGGGTTTACACTGAGCTCTCTTGAGCTGTCCTCTTGCTGCATTATTGGGCACAGTCTCTTCATGTTTGTACGAGTAGCTCCTCCCTGCTACCCTGGCTCTGCTGTATGTGCTGGCAGGAGGTTATGGGGATATGGTTTAGCATTGGGGTGCAACCTACAGAGTCTGGTTTGGTCTCATGGGCAGATGTTGACCAGATCCAAGGGCTGGTCTGAGTTCTCATAATCTCTCCTTCCCCAGGACACACTGAAACCAGCGTTCACTGTCACCAACCTGCCGGGGACAACGTCCACCATCCAGACAGCCTCCACCACCTCGACCTCCATGCAGGTCAGCAGTGGCCCGTCATTCCCCATCACTAATTACCTGGCGCCAGTGTCTGCCAGCATCAGCCCCAATGCCGTCACCAGTGCCAACGGGACAGTGCTGAAGACTACTGGAACCAGTGCAGTGACATCTGGGGGCCTCATGCCAATACCCACCGGCTTCACCCTCATGCCAGGTCAGTGCCTTTAGGGGCTGAGGACTACACCTATCCATCTCTGCACCTGGAGTGTGTTGCTGCTCTCTCCAGAGGAGAGTAAACCCGGTGGCAGGAGGAGGCAGAGTGGTTGTTGCTGTAGGGTGAACCCAGCTGAGATTCCTTGCTTGAGCCCAGCCAGGCCAGTGGCTGGATAAGGGTAATGTAGTGACTGTTTCCTTAAAGTGCTGCTAGTTGGCCCTGCTGCTGGGAAGGGCATGGTGGCAGGGAGCTGAGTTGGGGTCCCAGGGCAGCACCGAGAAGCCTGGAGGGAGTGGAAAGAGCTGACGGTGACAAAGCCTTTCTTTCTCCCTCCTTTTGGCAGGTGCTTCCCTTTCTCTGGGGACCCCTCCCATTCCTTTCACTCAGTTACAGCCACACTCTCTGGCTCTTTCTAGCCAGCAGGGCCAGGTGGTCATGGGTACGGCTGG